GCTCTGCTAAAGCCTGCCCACCGTGGGTGACCCTGCTGGTATTTGCAATACTGGTGGCAGAGCTTCCAGCATCCCAGCAACACATAGGCCTCCACAGTACAACCAAGTGACAGACAGGTGGTGGGGTCCTGGAATAGGCACTGTTTTACTGTCCCTTGTAAGACCCTGTGCCCAACAGCTCTCATCGTCCTCCAGACTTGCTGCGTCTCCCCCAGCCTCTGGTTCTGAGCTTGCTCACCAGGTGCCCCCTCCCCCCGTGTCCATGCACATCTTGCAGTGGGCATGCCCATGGACATTCCTCGTTGACGCTCATCTTCCCACGAGACTGGAAGCTGTAGGAAGGCAGGGCTAATGTGGTTTGTCACCCTGCTCCCAGGGCCTGGCACACAATAAGCTCTCAGTTGCTCTTTCTGGACCATCTTAGTGGAAGGACAGTAGGTCTTGATGTCACCACTTCCTGCGAGGGCTGCTGCTTCCTTTCTAGTTAACAGCCAGGAGCCCGAGGCCCAGCACTGCATCAGGTCACCCGGGAGTCAGACCAGGGTATCTGGCTTTTGTTTGCTTTCTGCTCATGGCCACCCAGCCTATGGGGTTTGGCCACCAGTGGCTCGGTTCCTCAGTGCCCAGTCACTGTTCTCACAATGCTCCATGAAACCTCATGGGAGAAGTGGCCAGGTGGCCACCATCATCCAGGGGCCAGTGTGGAAGGTCTGTCAGAAAGCCTCCAGCTGGAGGCCTTCCCTTTCCCCCCAGAGACAAAACATGAGCACATGTGTCCCAAGATATGACTAGATGTATCCACAGCAACAAGGCTGGGACCCAGAGGCCAGCCAGGAACAGAGCAGAGAGGGAGTCAGAGGCGCAGGCCCTGCCTCAGGGTTAGGCTACAGGCAGAGGTGGCTGTGCCTGCAGCAGGCGTGTGGGGAAGGAGGAGCTAGGTTCTGACAAGTAGTGGGGTGCCCTGACAATGCCAGTGTACCTGGAAATGCAGCATCAGGTTCTTTCTGGGAGGCCCTGCCCTGGACAGGGCTGGAGTCTGGGGGTCGAGCTCCAGGCCTGGGGACTGCAGTAGGCAAAGGCACCCAGGCCCCTAGACCTGTGGAGTGGTTAGCCAGTCAGTTAGCAGTCCTTATTAAGCTCTGACTATGTGCCGGTAGCTTTTTTGGCTGAGGATATAGTTGTAAACAGGTATATAGGATCCCTGCCCTCTTAGAGCACATTCTAGTTAGGGGAGGCAAAAGAAACTCATCAGTGGATAAAATGGCGCAAACAGTTAAGAGCTCAACGACTTACCAAAAATTGGCCGTTCGAACACAGCCAGAGGCACCTCGGAAGAAAGGCTTGGCGTTCTGCTTCCAAAAAATCAGCCATTGAAAACCCTGTGGAGCATAGTTCAACTCTGACACACATGGGGTCGCATAAGTCAGAATTGACTCCATGGCAACTGGTTTGATTTTTGTTTGTTTTAGTGACAAGCGCTGAAGACTGCTTCAGCTAAAGTGGAAAGAAAAGGCCTCTCTGAGCCTGAGACCCAAATGGCAGGCAAAGCCAGCGTGCAAAGACTGGGCGGTGGGCAGGGGGCAGGGGTGTCTCCAGTAGAACCTCCTCAGGCGCACAGCTCTGAGATTGGACTGCGTTCACCAGAGTACATGGGAGCAGCTTGGCCCAGCTCATGAGCTGGCTTGCACATCTCTTCCCAAGTTCGCGATCAGCGACCTCATGTTAATAGCTCAGAATCAGCCATGGTGAGAGGATCATTTACACCAGGGGAACTGGCAAACGCTACAAATCAGGATCTCCACCACCACCGCCACCCCACCGGTTGTTAAACCTTTGCCAGCACACCTGATTGGCATATCTGAGTACCAGAAAGAAGGCCACTGGAGTGTGGTGGGCAGAGAGAGGGGGGTGAAGAGAGAGGTTACTACAGAGACAGAAAGGCTATGTTCTGTTTAAAGCAGAGGGCACCAGAATTTGATTTTTTACTTTGCAAAGACTCGGGTCCGGGGAACAAGTGTGAGGAAGGAGAGGGGAGATCGAGTTATCAGAATTAGGGTCCAGGCAAGATCTGAATCTAAGAACTAAGGAGAAAGCCACTTAGCACCACAGGAGCTTAAACGCAGAGTGAGGCCAGTGTCAGGGGGTGGCTCTGAGGCTGCCTGACCTGGGTCTGTGCCCCGGCTGAGCCTACAGGGGCTGCCAGGTGGCCCCACCTGTGCAGAGAGGAGGGCTGCTGAGCTCAGCTACCTGCAGTGTGTGGAACAGCCATGTTGGTCAGCTTCCTTTCCAAAGAGGTGATGTTAGCAGCTCCCAAAGCCTCTGTGGATATGGTTATCCAGCATATCCCCCAGATGGGGGATAAACGGCGCCAACATGGCTATAAGTTTCCATGCCAAAATGGCTCCGTCTCACCGCTCTCATCCACTCCGTCCCATGTCGGAGCAGCACGCCAGTTGCCCAAGCTGGAGTTGTGATGGAACAGGTGCCTCCCAGCCTCAGCAGCTGGCAAGAACGCTGGCACCCTTTCCAGCTCCAAGGACCCAGGCTGTGCCCAGGGCCAATTAAATCAGAACCTCTAGAGGTGGGGCCCAGGCTTCAGTGTTTTAAAGTTCCCGGTGATTGCTGGGTGTGGCCAAGGCTGAGAACGCCTGGACTAGAATGTGAGAACTTCCATAGAGCAAGAGGCCATATTTGTCCACATGTTGACTCAAGGGTGGATTCCATTAATAGCCGATCCCGGTGTGATGGCAATGCCTGGTGTCATCCCTTTGGGTCTTAGGTGACACCTGTGTCCTCCTGGGTGGGCCGCTGGCCATGGTGAGAAGCTGGCTTAGCTGTGGGGCCCAGCTCATCACTTCTCAGTCTGCATCACTGTAGCTGTGTTAACACAGCAGCTGACATGCTCCCCGAGGACTTTAAGAGTACTTGAGGCATCCCTTCAGGAAATGGAGCCAATATGGAACACAGAAGATGATGATAATTTAAAGGTTCCAGCCATGCTCCTCTGGAGCTGAGGGGAATACAGGAAAGACACCCAGACGGCTGCCCAGAGAGGCCAGGCGGGCGGTGTCCTGTGCTCAGACTCATGCCTGACCATGCAGCATGGAGGGCGTGTGCAGAGCCATGGAGAGGTGCAGAGTCCTTTCCTTGTGTTTTTAGGGAAAGGCAGGGAGGACAGATGTCCAAGGTGATTTTGAGAATTAGATGAGCACTGTTATTTTGAGTGTTAGCTGAAAATGGCAGAGCTTGGGTGGCCATCAGCTCAGAGCATTCACTCCTTCCTGAAGGGACTCTAGCCCCCGGTGAGTCTTCTGCTAAGAATATGAGTCTTTTGAAAATTGGATATTTAAGAGTCTAAATACCCCTTCATCAGCACCACCACAGTCCACTGTGGAGAAAGGGACTCCAATCCCATGGGTAGTGGAGAAGCTGGGATGAGCCATTGGATGATGGTGGCTGCTTTGGGTGTCCCTAGGGGGGCCATAGTCCCATGGAAGACTTTCCATGCCGAGCTCTGCTTCCAATCCCTGAGGCTTCTCCCACATGAAGCTTTCTGAGGTGTGAAATATACCTGTTTTGAAACCTTACAACTTCCTTCCCCCCTCTCATCCTTCCTCCCTCGTCCCTCCTCCCTTCATTCAAACAGCATTTAGAGCGTGTCCACCATGAGTTCAAAACTGTATTAGTCACTAAAGAAAGTGGGAGGGAGGCGTCTTTGCCTGCCAGCAAGAAGCTTAGAAGCCAGTGGTGGAAGTAGAATGCAATGGTAGCACCTGATCTAACAAGTATTTACAAAGTGCTAGAAAAGCTCAGAGGGGAGGAGAGGCTAACTTAGACTTGAAAAGCCTGGAAAGTCTTCTCAGAGGAGGGGAACCTTAAGGCTAGGTCTTGAAGGAAGGGCTGAGTTTGCCAGCTGGAGAAAGAGGGGAAGAGAATATAAGACACACACATAAAACAAATTCCAGTAACTGGTAGACGAATGAGTATAGAAGTAAAATTATTCCACACAAAAATGAAAGAGCTGTATGTCAGGACTCTTCTGATGCAAGTGACAGAAAACTCAACTGACCTCAGCCCAGAAAAGGCAGGGAGGGGTGGGGAATGCTGACTTCAGGTCCAGCAGGATTCAGGGCTCAAACACCGCCATTAGGACTGGTGCTGTCCATCACTTGGCTTTGCCTGGCCCTCCTCTGTGGGTCAACTCAGCCTCCACGGGGTGGCAAGATGGCGGGGGCCACCCCAACCCCACAGCCTCCAGGCACAAGCCTGGTGGGAAAATGAAAATAACTTTTCCTGGCCACTTAAGCAGAAGCTGTGGGATGAGATCTGATGGGGCCGACTGGCTTGGCTGGAGTCCCATGCCTGTCCCTGAACCAATCACTGCAGCCGAGGAAATGGAGCATGCCGATTGGCTCAGGCCTGGGCTTCCTGGGCAGCCACCACGAAGGAAACCGTGCCATGGGCCAGCGTGCTGCCTGATGCTTTGACATAAATTTGCTCATTGGATCTTCACAGACACCCAGGAGGGCGATTATTATTACTATTTCACAAAGAAGAAATGAGCATTCATGGGCCTGGGTTCTTTGCCTGAATACCCATAGGCAGAGAGTCAGGATTGGGTCTCCCTTCTATCACTCTGAAACCTATTGGCGTCGAGTTGACTCCAGCTCATGGCAACCCCATGTGTGTCAGAGTAGAACTGTGCTCTTTAGGGTTTTCAGTGGCTGATTTTTTAGAATTTTCCAGGCCTTTCTTCCTTGGTGCCTCTGGGTGGACTCGAATCTCCGACGTTTCGATTAGCAGCCGAGCACGTTAACCATTTGCACCACCCAGGGACTTCATGAATCAGAAGCCCAGTATTTTAATGCTGAACCCCTCTTATTTGAAAAAGCACATAGACTACAATTCAGTTGCTAGCGTGTTACTGGTGCTGTGAAAGCGACTGCAAGCTCAGTGACCTGTTGCTTTCCTGACTGAGTCCCCCTTCTCGCCCCTTCCAGGGCTCTGGTGTTTATTTCCCACGGAGCTGGGGAGCACTGCGGCCGCTATGAGGAACTGGCTCAGATGCTGATGGGACTGGGCCTGCTGGTGTTCGCCCACGACCATGGTGAGTGGGGCAGGGTGCCTGTGCCTGGCCATGTGGAGAGCTCCCTTTTGAGACTGTCTCACCTCCATCCTCCTTCCCTCTCAGTGATATTCTGATTCCTGCTGTGAAACCAGGAAAAGACTGTCTCAACTGAAAGTTTCTAAGCAGAGAAATATGTAATAATGTAAATAAAAATTAGATCTGAGCGGAGTTTCCATTGAGTCTGGGATTGAACAGAGGCTGACGACAAACCTCAGCTGGAAAAACAGAATATGTTTATGTAAGAACCCGGCCCAGGCCAAGTAATAATCTTGTCCATTTATAAAGCACTTTCTGTACAAAATGGGCCCTGGTTTTCTCCCAAGAGGCTTCAGATGGATGAGGTATAGTCAGTTCAAGCACAAATTAAATCCCAGTTTAACCACAAGAAAGGAGCCCTGGTGGCACAGTGGTTAAAGCACTCGGCTGCCAACCGAAATGTCGGCTCCCACCAGCCACTCCACGGGAGAAAGATGTGGCAGTCTGCTTCCGTAAAGATTTACAGCCTTGGAAATCCTATGGGGCAGTTCTAGTCTGTCCTATAAAGTCGCTATGAGTCGGAATCGACTCATCAACAACACTGGCTTTGGTTTTTGGTAACCACGAGAGGTTTACAAAGCACTTCAAAACAGGGGAATAGTAGAATTCTCAAAAGGCCGTATCGGTTACCCCAAACACATGCTCACACGCCCTCATACACACATACTTACACACACCATCACACTCACACACATTCACACGCTTGCACTCACACACACCCTCACATACTCACATACACACTCACATACTCATACATACCCCACACACATACACACACATCCCTAGGCTGAATGGAAATTTCCATTTGATTCTTTGTCATGTAACACAATCCACAGTCACCATCAAAATGCAATATCCATGGCATATGTCAGTAAGCAGTTTCTTACTTGCTCTTGTGACATTCTCCATAGCTGCTGAGACTCCCAATTTAGATCTGTCTTTGCCTCTTAATCTTTAAAATTATAAGTTCCTTGTGACTGAAAATAGCGATTTCTCCACAGCTACAATGTAGAATTCTACCATCCTGGGCCAAATCCAGAAAGGTACTTCTGTTGTATCTGATTTGAAAATAGATGATTTAAGTGATGATGCTACACGGAGGGGCAGGGAGCAGTGAGAAGGGCCTGGGAGGGAGCGCGGTGTCCTTGCGGCGAAGCTGACACGGGATGAAAGCTTGTCCAGCGTCTTGTATGTAATGTACTGCAAATTTGATTTGCTTCTGCCAAGAGCCCTTTCTAAGCCAGATATGTGCATGCGTCCTTGTAATTGCGAATATTGACCAAATCTTTCTTATTACAGTTGTGATGTTCTTTAGTGCTTTGTGAATTGTCCTAGTAAAGTTCGGGAGACTGTTTGAGAAATAATATTTGAGGATTATCCTGGCTTTAACTATGGGTATTGTATCATTATGAACTTTGACACTTTCCACAGTGTGTAAAGGCTTAAGAGAGGTGTGATTTTTTTCTATTATATTTATCTTCGTTAAAATTTGTTGCAGTCATCATCCTTATGGTCTAACTAAAAAAAATAAGGAAATTATAAAAGAAAAAATGCGTGTATATCATGCAAACGCTACAGAGCTCCAACTAGAATTTCAGGTACAGTTAGCCTTCTGATTCCACACGTTCTGTGTCCGCAGATTCAACCAACCGCCAATCGAAAATATTCGAGAAAAAAATGTTACGTTGTCGCTGACGTGTACTATGTAGTCAGGCCTTCGCTGGCTGTGTCGGTACTGAACATCTACAGAGTTTTTTTGCTTGTCATTATTCCCTAAACAATGCAGTATAAACAACTATGTACATAGCATTTACATGGTATTAGGTATTAGAAGTAATGTAGAGATGATTCAAAGTATAGGGGAGGATGTGAGTAGGTTATATGCAACTCCTATGCCATTTTATATAAGGGACTTGAGCATCTGAAGATTTTGGTATCAAGGGGGTCCTGGAACCAATCTGTCTCTGACATCAACCACCATTTTATCCGATAATCTTGGCCAAGTCTGTGGGATTAAGTAAATGTTGTACCTTCTTTATTCTGCCTATGACATTTTGACAAACGATAAGAAAAGACTCTTTTTTAAGGATAAAGGGAAACAAGAAACAACCCACCTTTTCTTGTTTCTAAAATAACATCTAAAATTGAGGCCTAGCTCTTTGTGACGTTCTGAAGAGTGAGAAAATGGTGGTTTCTGTTCACCAGTTTCAAGTTCCTTGATTTATTGGCTCCTTACAATGACTTACTGGAAAACTGTCTGGTAAGTGCCTGAGGGAGGTGTTTTATTCAAGAAATGAACTCAGTTGAATGTGGCTGTGACTTCTGTTGTCTGTACACGAAAATGAGTGTGGCTTAGGAGGAGGAAGTGGGTGGCTGCCATTGTGGTGAGTCTCTGGCAGGTGGGGAGGCAGAATGTCTAGGTCGGTGATGTTTCCTTCTCAGCCTTATTTCCTTCTGGCTGAGAAATGTGTTAGTGAGTGGAGGAGGAGTTTGAACCTAGGAGTGCTGGGGCTAAAGCCTGACCGCTTCCCATTACAGAGCACTGGAGTCTCCACGCATGAAGACATGCACATACGCAGACTTCATCCTCTCCAACATTGCTTTCAAATTTAAGTACATTTAAGTAAATTTTGGGCACGTGTCAGCATTTTTTGTGCCAAATGGAAATACATTAGGGATTGCACACATAGGGCTGGGGAAAACTGCTGAGGGCCTGTGGCCTCTCCAGAACCAGAACAGCCCAAACGCCCTCTCCTACAGTCACCTTGTCCTCCTGCAGAAGTTACTTTCCCTGTGTGTTTTCTGTCACCTGTTCTAGAACTTTCCACCCTAGTGAGCAATGGACTCCACCTCCCCGGACTGTGATTCCAAGCTGTGTGACCTTGGAGATCTAGTTTAACCGTCCTACACCTTAATTTTCCCATCTACCAAGTGGGCCAGATAATACTGTCATATCATAAGAGCTGGCTGTGCAGTAGTGCAGATAAAGTGCCCAGCCTAGTGCCCCCTCCGAGGACCCTTTCAGTAAGTACAATGCAGATCACCTGGTGTGCTGTGTGCCAAAGTGTGGATGGCCCCAAGGCTATGAGGGCCGTGCATTCATGTGGATGGGCCCACAGACATAACTGACCACAGTGGTGATTCCGTCCCCGACTATCTAGAAAACTCCGTGAATACTGGGTATGTCCAGCTCTTGGTGTCCCATCACCAGCAGAGAAGTTAGTAGCTTCCACCACTCCCATTCTCACCTCTAAGCCTCATCACTTGAGCCATATTTGGGCCATTCAGTGGGTGGGCACCTTCGAAAGGGTCACATTGAGTGGGGCTGGCAAGCATGAAACCAGGAGACAGGAGTGCTGGGTTCTTGTCCTGGCTTCGCTGCACCGCGCCATGCCATTCTCAGGCCTCTCTGGGCTGCTGTGAAGACAACATGAAACAAGAGATAGGAAAATGCTTTACAAAGTAAACAGCTATCTGTGGGGATTGTATCGCTGGTTTCTGTAACACAGATAAATCTGCCCCTAACTGATTTTAATTCCATGGGTCTTGTTGCTCAACTATATTACAATGTTTCGTTGTTTAGACAGAAACCTTGAGATGCCGTGGGCTGGCTGTTTTTCTTGGCATGCCTAGTAGACTGGCTTACACAGAGCGGTGCTCAATAACTAATTAAACTTTGTTTTCTATCTTAACCTTAGAATTTTCAGACTAAGCATCTGACCTAGTGGGTATGAGCAGCCTGCCAGCAATGAGGAATTATGACTCCTGCCATTTATTGAGTGCCAACTGCATGCCAGCCCCTGTAACAGCACTTTTTGTACATTCTCTGTAATTCCTCACACAATTAGTTCCATTATTCCCATTTTATAGATGAGGAATCTGAGGCTATACAGCCAAGAATTCTAGGTCCAAGATTCCAAAGCCCATTCTCATCCTACCAACGCACAACAGAAATCTGACTCTGTAGGTTTATTTTTCTCTCATGCCACAGAAACCTGAGGCAGGTTCAAGAACTCCACAATGCCATGAATGTCCCAGGGTCCTTCTGTGGTTTCCCTAGGCCCTTCTCACTTGGCGTACTGCTTTCATCCCTGTGTGCACCAGCTTCAGCCTCACATTCTAAGCAGGAAGAAGAGGGAAGCAACAAAGGGGAAAGGGCTGAACCTATGTCAGGAAAGCAAAGCTTTCTTAGAGATCCCTAGCAGATTCCAACTACATCTCATTGGCCAGCACTGCATCCCATGGCTACCCCCTAGCTGCAAGGGAAGCAGGGAAATGTCACTTTTTAATTGGGCATTTGCTGACTCAAACAAAACAGGGTTCTGTTAGTAAGACAGAAGCAGAGAATGGACATTGCTAGTGGTAGCCAACCCAACCTGTGCCACACCATTCTTCCAGGAACAGTGTTTATTATTTAAGAGAGCATTTCTCAGCCATTTCTGCTTTAGGTGTTTTCTGCGTATAACATAACTAACTCCCAGTGTTACCTTTCTATCTTATTCATCCCTATGTTCTTTCACGTGGTTTTGGTGTGAAGGTTATTATTAACATCATGAATGAATATTGATTTAAGTCCCAATTGCACATTAGTTCTGGGTTAGGTGTTGTACATAAAGACATTAACTATCGTCCTAATGGTAGAGTGACCTGTTTGCCCCAGTAATATTAAGCAGCTCTTCTCTAAGTGCATAGCTTTGTTTCTAAGTGCATAGTCTTTATTATCCTGTGTGGCCATTATTCATTTACCATCGAGGCAGCAAGCTCCTGGCTGACAACAACTGTGTGTTGTGTGTTCAGCTCTTCTCTCTACACCCACAGCCTTCTTACCTTCCCAAGACTGAGCAGATAGTAGCATCATTACCACGATTTGTTGAATGAATGAAGGGGCTTTGAGTCTAAAAGAGATCAGACCAGAAATATTTTAAATAGTAGAACATCTGCAT